CTGTGTGCATAACAGTGCTGCAGTCAACCTTTCAAGCCTTCACATAGACGGAGGAACTTACTTTGCTTACTAGCAAATACAGTAACACACATTTCCTGTTTCCTGTATGGAAAAACCTTTGAGCCAGGCAGCTTTGGGAATACTTTTAAAACGTGAATAGGAAATCGTTTCCTTCCTTCACCTCTGATCTGCTGTTGCTTCCTGCTGGCTTCTCACTTCTTTGTGTGCCATTTGTTGCAGTTCGTCCATCTTCCGATGCATCTCCTGCGATGACAGTAAACAGAAAGAAAATGCATCATTCACAAAGACAAACAATGCATTTAACATTTATGTTATTGAAGTGAAGTTTTAAACAGACACCACAGCGTGAGTATTTAACAAAAAAAACAGAAAACAATGGGATGTGAAACCAAAAGCACATCTAAGCTGACCCTGCATGCTGTTTGAACCACAGAACCACAGCAGAGAAAAGGAAGTGCAAGCAACAGCCAAACTTGACTTACCAGCCCATCTGACTCAGTCTCCAAGGCACTGACGCCACTTCCCTTTGACTTTTCCGCGCTCGCCGTACCGACAGTCTCTGGGCTCGACCCTTGCCTGGACTCAACCACTCTTTTAGCCCCGGCCAATTCGTCCATCAGCCGTTCGCGATCGTTTTGGAGACTGGCCATGGATCTGGAGAATGCTGACAGTTGCCTGCTGTAAGTGTTGTTTTCCAAAATGACTTTTTTTAGTTCTCTTTCCTTTTCTGGCAAGACCTCCGTCAGCTCGTCCAGCAGCTTGTTCAGCTCTGCGTGTGCGTCTTTACTCTCAAAGGCTTTTAATTTGCGAGTAAGGATGTCCCTCTCTTTGGCAAACATGGCCAAATCTGAAGTGGTGTCCCGCAAACTGCGCTCCACCTTGTTTAAGGCTGCCCGAGTCTCTCGGAGTTCTTCATCGTATCTCTGCCTGAGGACCTTGAAGTCCTCGATGAGCTGGTCTCGGTCATTCTGCAAAGCAGCCATTGCCTTGCACAGGGATTCATTCTGAGCCTTGGTATCTTTGCTTTGCGATTTAGCCTCTGATAACTGCTGCTCTATTTCTAGTAGGTCTTTTGCGAGCTCTGCCACCCTCTGATCGGCAGTTTCTCGCTCATTCCTCATCAGCTCCACCTCGCGCTCAAAGCCATCCAGCTCGCTGTTGTACTTTTCCTCAGCTTCTGATAATTTTTTGTCCGTTTCATCTTCCAGCTGCTGCATTTTCCCCTTGAGCTCATCAGTTGAGAGCTTCTGAGAAAGAAGTTTTTGTTGAAGGTCGTTACATTCAGATGCTTTGGCTGTAACAGCTTCCTGCAAGTCAGCAATCACCTTGCCCCAGTTTGTTGACTCGCTGTCTTTTCGCAGAGTTAACAGCTCCTCCTCCAGCTTGGACGCACGAGCTTTAAGTTTAGAATTCTCTTCCTTTAACGCATTACTTGCTTCTTCTTCCTTCTGGACGTCCAGCTGTGCCTCTCTGTGTTGCTTTTCAGCCGCAGCTTTTTGGGTTTCGAGGTTTTTGATCACCTCCTGTTGCTTCTTTAGCAATACTTTCAACTGGTTGTCCTTGAGGGACAAAACCTGATTTAAATCCTCCCTGTATCGGACCAGTTGAGCCCTGAGCATCGCGTTCTCAGAATTGAGATCATCCATCTGATGTAACAGTTTTCTAATTTCGTGTTTGAGGCCTTTGGCTGCCCCGCCTTCCCCATCGGGAGAGCCCTCTTTGCCCTTTAACCCTAACTGACTCTTTGCTTCCAGTATTCTGTATTCCGACATCAGCCGTTCCCGTTCGCTCTGCAAAGACACCATTGAGTTCTTGAACGACTCCATCTTTGCTTCCATCTGCTCCTTTTCCTGGATAGATCTGTTTGCTTTAATTTGCAGACTTCGGACCTTGGCCTCAAGCGCTCTCAACTCTTTGTCCGTCTTTTCCTTTTGGTATCGTGAAGACGTCAGCCTGTCCTCGTAAACTGACACCTGGTTACGATAGTTAGCCTGCAGTTGCTCCAGATAGCCTGACATCTGTCCATCTTTGCAGGACAGTAGAGAGGAGATCTCAGCATCTTTGCTCTGAAGGAGCGTTTTGAGCTGCAGACAAATCCCCTCCTGCTTCTCAAAGTCAGCTTGAGTTTTGTCATTTTGAGACTGCAAAAGGAATATCTGAGCTTCCATGTCTGCGTTTATCTTCTCCACTTGCTGTAGACTGAGCTGCATTTGGGAGATCACGTCTTCTTTGTCAGCCAGCTGTCGTTTCACTGCGTTTTTCTCTTGCTCTGTTCTTTCCACCTGAGCGCTGAGCTCCTTCACCTGCACAGTCATGAGCTCTGCGCTCTCGCCGAGTTCAGCATTGCTTGCGCTCATAACAAACAGCTGCCTCTGATGCGCAGCAGCAGCTACAGAGTATTCGTTCAGCGTCCTCTCCAGTCTCGACTTGGTCACCCGTAACTCATTCACCTCTTTGTCTTTCATTCTCATATCTTCCAGGAATCTTTTAATGATGAAACCTTGCTCAAGGAGCTGATTGTCCTTCTCGTGTAAGGTTTTTTGGTACAAATCATTCCAAAGTTTGGTAGCGTTAGCCCCGTGTGGTGTGGAAGCTAACGCGGACAGCTTTGCTTCTTGAGTCTCAGCCGCTCTCTTTAGAGTATTTATCTGCAGATCTCGGGAGTCTAGCTGCTGCCTCAGCTCATCAACAGTTTGACTTTCTTTCTCTTTTAAATCCTTGAGATCATCTATCTGCCGCTGTAACAAAAACTGATTCTCTATGTAAGAGTTTATTTTTGCTTCTTCTACATTTTGAGGTGTCAGATGTGATTTCTGATTTTCAGACTGTTTATTTTGCTGTGACACTTGAAGAGCCAGCTGGTCTCTTTCAGACTCGGCACTCTCAATCTTTTCTTTGGCTTCCCGGAGATGACTCTTGTGCATGATTAGCTCAGCTTCAGCTTGTTTACCTCTCTCCTCTAAATCTGCAATCTTCTCTGAGTTTTTCTTCAGTTCTTTCTCCAAGTGCTCACACGTTGATTGCGAGCTCTTCAAAGAGCTCTCCAAATCTAAAATCAGTTCCTGGTATTTGATGCAGTTTTGCTGCAGCTGATTTATCTCCTGATGCTTTTCTTTGAGCAGCTCTTGCAGCTCTTTCTTCACGTTCTTCGAACCCTCGTTGCCTCTCTGAACCGTCTTGAGTTTCTCCTCGAACTCTTTGACCAACTTGAGCTGCTCCTGTTCTTTTTCGTGACGAATCTGATCGTTCATCTCCTTGCTAGCTGCAAGTTGAGCGGAAAGCTGCGCAGTTTGGGACTGCAGGGCACCGACGGACTCGGTCAGTTCGTCAATCCTTTCTGAGTTCTTGAGGATTACAGTCTCCAAATATTCGTTTTCACTCTTCACCTTGTCTGAGACCTCTTGAGCGTTCTCAAGTTCCTCTTGCAGAAGTGACTTGTCATCCTCCAAAATTCTCACCTTCTCATTCAGGTTAATAGTCTCTTGGCGGTGCCTGTTGATAATGTCTTTGAGGTCCTTAACTGCGTCATCTTTTATTCCCAACTGCGACTCATAGTCATTCTGTATGTTCTCAATTTTCTCTGAAAGAGTCTGCTTCTCCCTCTGCACCAAGTTGTTGATTTCCATTTGAGCAGCAAGTTCAGTTTTCTGAGCTTCAATCTGAGCAGTCAGTGAACTATTCAAACTGAGTGCTTCGTCAAGTTTGTTCTGCATGTTGCTTGTGTATGTATTGGTTTCCAGGTTCTTCTTTTCCAGCAAACAGGTAGCTTCTTCCAGCCTTTCTGCTAGCTGGATATTTTCAGCTTCCATCTCAGCAAGTTTCCCTCTCAGAGCCTCGAATGAGTCCTGAAATGGGGCCGTCTCTGCCTCCAGTTGTTGGTTTTTATCATTTAGCTCACTCATCATCTCCATCGCCTGTTTCTTGATTTTCTCATTCTGCTCCTCCAGCTCCTCGATTCTCTGCCTTTTCTCTTTGGAAACTTCCTCCACTTTTTCTTTCATTCTTTTATTTTCTTCCTCCATCTCTCGGACTTGCTTCCCCAGGATCTCCATCTCACTTTCGTGCTTGTGTACTTTTCGGAGGGCTTCCTGCCTGTCTCTTTTAGCTCCCTCCAAAAGCTGCCTCATCTTGTCCATTTCACTGCTGACATTTTCATACGCTTGCAAAAGAGACTCGTACTCTTGCTTGAGCTCTGCGTGTTTCGACTTCCACTTGGTCAGCTCCTCTGTTTGAGAATCTTTGAGCGATTCGAGCTGGCACGAGAAGGCTTGTTTCTGCTGAGTGATGCTTTCTATAGTTAGTTTCAAACTTTCGCAGGCTGCAGATAGGTTGCGATTCTCGTTGAGGATGCGGTCGACTTCAGTGCTCTTTTTGTCCTTCTCTTCGGAGAAACGTGACACAGAACTTTCCAGGTCCGTATTTTCTTGTTTCAACTTTAAAAGAGATGATTGCAGAGCAAAGTACTCGGTTTCTTTTGCTTCGTGTTTGGCTGACAGATTTTCTACTTCTTCCTTGAGCGCTGCATTTTCCTTCATGAGTTCTTTCCTAGAAACCAAAGCTGCTTGAAGTTTCCTTGTTAGAAGGGTAACTTTGTTTTGGTTATCTGGATCATTCATCCTGGCACCCTCATCAGGAGATTTCTGAAGCTCACCTCCCTCTCTTCTCATCTTTTCAGTAGTGTTTTCAAGCATTTTGCTTTGCTGTTGTAGCTGAATTTCAAGGGCAGCAATTAGTTCCTCCTTTTCTGAAACTTGAGCTTGAGAAACTAACAAGGCATCATCTCGCTCCTTTAGTTTTGCTTCAAAGATTTCTGCACATTTGCAAGAAAAACAGACCCCTTCTTTGTCTTGTTCAACGGGTGCATCATGCTTCTTCAGCAGCTGCTCTTTTACCTTCTCCGACTCCTTCGATTGCTTTCTCAGGGAGGTCAACTCATCCCTCAGTTCATTAAATAATTGGACAAAATGTTCTTTTTCCTGCTTCAGCGAATCCATATTCCTCTGTGTTTCAGTAAACTGCTCCTGCAGATGTTTAAGCTCCTTAGCCAAAGATCGGTTGTCCTCAGTGAGCTGCTGCTCTGTTTGTTCTAATGTCTTCTGAAGGGTCAAAACTTCAAAGGATTTCTGCAAAATTAAATCAGCTTTTGTTTCAAGTTCTGCTTTCATCTGATTACTTTGCTCCAAACAAGCTTCCTTTTCTTTCAATAAGGTTTGATGCTTCTCTTCATTTGCATACATATGTTCCTCTAGTGAAGATTTTAGGACGCACAGTTGAGTCTCTAAAGCCTTGTTTTTATCAAATAAAGACTGATCCTCCTGTTGGGTCTTAACCTCAGCAACTCTGGCTGCATCCCGATATTTGTCAACCTCTTCAATTTTCTCTCTTAATTCGTTCTCTACGATGTGCAGTCTTGATTTCAAAGAATCTGCTCGTTGCTCCATGGCTACGAGAGACTCTTCTTTATTGGCCATCTCAAGAGAAATAGCCTCTAATCCGGATTTAGTAGCTTCAAGTTCTGTTTGCAGGCTTGAGAGAGAATGGCATTGGCTCTCTTTCTCAGCCAAAGACATCTTTAAATCTTGAAGAGTTTTGTCTCTCTCCTCGACGAGCTGTCTCAAAGTTTGCAATTCATCCAGATAACAAAAGGAGGTTTTGTTGAGTTCCTCCATTTCTCTGGTGTTCTCATCCAAGCTTAACTGCACTGCGTTTAGCTCGTTCGTCTGCTGGCAGTGTTGCTCCAAGAGCGCCTTGTAGTCATCTTTTAGTTCAGCGAGCTCTTGAGATAATTTCTTTTCATTTTCTTGAGCTTTCTTTATTGATTCTTTGCGTGCCAGCAAGGCGGCCTGGGCTTTCTTCTGTAAGGTCACCTTTTCTGACTTTACCTGTGCAAGCTCATTTTCTAAGTCAACAGCACTAGCAGCAGAGGAAGACTTGTCCTTTAACTCATCTTTGCACGTCTTGATTTCATTTTGAAGCTCTTCTAATTTCTGCATCAAGCCCTTGCTGTTCTGCTCAAATATCTCTTCCTTCTCGGCAGCACTGGACTGCAGCTGCTCGACTAGTGAGTCTTTCTCACTGAGCATTTGTAATGTTTTTGACAAATGAGCTTCTTTATCATTTAAGATGGTTTGCAAACTCTGTTTTTCTGACTCTAGCTGTTCCAAAAGCGTTTTGCTTTCGGTGTTATACTTAAGAAATTCTCCCTCTTTCTCGAGAATTTTCTTTTCAAGTTGGGAAATATTTTCTTTATGCAATTCTGCTGTAGCTTGAGCTTGACTTTTGGCTTCTTGCAGTTGTTCGTGCAACAGTGAAACCTCAGTTTTACTGCTTACGCTCTCTTCTTTTTGGTTTTCATATTCTTCAATCCTCCTTAACAGATCTTTTCTCACAATAAGCGCAGCTTGCAGCTTCTTCTTCACTGCATCTTTTTCTTTCGATACTTTTGTGAGTTCACTTTGTAGCTCATCCTTTTCCTTAACTAGCATGAGCTTCTCTAAATTATTTTTCTCAGTTTCACTTGAACTGTGCGAAATATGTTCTTCTAACTGTTGCAAAATCTCTTTATGTGCTCTCTCCATGCTCTTTAATTGTGCCGAGAGCGAGCCATTTTCCTCACCAAGTTTCATTCTCTCATTTGAGGCGGACTCCATGACCTGGGCAATGGATGCATCTTTTTCCTTTATCTGCTGAGTAAGGCCAGCAAGCAATTCCTTCTGTTGACTGATCTGAATGCTCATGCTGCTGATTTGCTCATCTTTTGTTTGCAATTCATCATATAAAGAAGAGTGTTTAACAGTAGCTTCTTTCACTCTTACTAACTCGGCATTAAGCTGAGTCTGTAAATGCTCCGCAGCCTCTTGCAAAAGAGCTATTTGTTGACCTTTCTCGCAACTATTCTGCTCTCTCTGATTAAGTACAGTCTGTGTTTTTTCCAATTCTGCAACAGTTTTAGCCAACTCGGTTTCCAAAGCATCTACCTCACTTTGATGACTTTCTTGTAACCATCTTATCATGTCCTCCAAAGAGGCTTTTTCTTCATTCAAAGCAGAAGATTTCAATAGAGAGGAAACTTTGTCCGTTTTTCTCACTACCAGTCTTTGTAACTCGTCTTCCACAGCTTTGAGAGCCTGCTGCAAAATATGGTTCTCGTTCTCCTTTTCCTGGATAGATGCTAACACATTCTCAAGCTGAATTCTGGATGCGGATGCCTCCAGCTCTTTCGTGCTTAGTTGATTAGAGCCCTCCCTAATGGCAGAGGAAGCCTCTGCTAGTTTCTCCTGCAAGCTGTCCATGTCCTGTTTCAAAGCATTTACTTTAACATCTTTAGATTTCATCTCATTTTCAACACTTTTCAATTGTTCTGCAAGAAGGTTCTTTTCCTGCTTTTCTCTATCCAGAACTAAAAGCCACTCTTTCTCTGAATCCTGCAGAATTTGTTCTATTTTTTGAATGTTTTCGTTCAACTGAGAAATGTCTTCATCTTTGGCACTAACCTTTGCTTGAAGGCTCTGCTTCTCGGACGTCATTCTCTCCACGAGTTCATTCACGCTGCTGGATTTCTGCTCCATTTGAACCTGCAGCTCCGCCAGCGTTTGTTGACGTCTTCTTTCTAGCTCTTCTTTCTCTGCAAAAAGTTTCCTAAATTCCTCTTTCAAATGTGTGTTTTCATTACTGAGAGCAATGTGAAGTTTCTGATTCTCTTCCTTTGACAATCCTATCTCCTCATTCAGTCTCTTATTCTGCTCTTCCAACTTCTGCATTTCTGAAACCAGCTGAGATGCATGTTTGGCCTGGGCGCTGTACTGACTATTGATTGCGTGGAGAGCCATTTCTCTCTGCTCGAGGTTTTCTGTCAGTGCATTCATCTGTGCCACGACCTGAAGATGCTGTGATTTGAGTCTTTCTATTTCGACGGTCAACAACGACACGCTTGCTTGATGCGAAGCAAATGCGTCATCTTTTTCCTTTGAAAGACTGGAGTTCAAATCCTCAGCTTTCCCCAGTTTCTCCTGGATCACATGCGAGTTACTTTTCAGTGTCTCTATGGTGGTCTTTGCAGTCTGATATTCGTTATTAGAATCATGCAATGACATCCGGAGCTCAGACACCTCGTCTGTCCTTTGAGAGAGTTGCTTCCTCGAGTCTTGTAACTCTTCTAAGGTGGCAGCATATTTCTCCTGCAGGTTATTGAAGGCACTTTGGGTTTCTTCTGCTGTCTTTCTACATTTTTCAGACTCGGTGGACAGTAACTGCATTTGACTTTGCAGCTGTGATGCCAACTCTGTACTTTCCATGAACTGAGTTTTGAACAGCAATGCTTCGTCTCCTCTTTTCTGGAAGTCCTGGAGAGCTTTCGATTGTTCCAAAAGAGCTGCTTCTTTTTCTTCCAAGGCCCTTTTGAGGTTTGTCACTTCAGATGTCTGTACTTCCAGGTTGCTGTTGAGCTTTGAGACAGATTCCTCGAGGTGTGATATCTTTTCTTTCAAGCTCTCACATTCTGCCTCTTTGGCTTGTAGATGTGAAGTCAGACTATCAAAGGCAGCGGAAGAAGTACTTTGATATTCAAGACTCGACTCCTCCTTTTTCTCCAAAGTATTCTTTAGTATGGAAGACTCTGATGTCAGACTGTCAACTTGGCCTCTGAGTGTACACACAGAACCTTCAAGCTCCAAAATTGTGCCTTCTTTCTCTTTCAGCAGCTCCCCCCGCTCAGCAATCTCACTGTTGAGCTGCTGGATCGAATTCTCCTGCTGTTTCAGGGCGTCGTTTATTCCTTGGATTTCCAAGTTGAGATTTGCAGCTTCTTGGTTTGCTTTGGCCAGCTCTGCCACTGCTTTCTGAAGTTCAGATTTCAATCGAACATTCTGTTCACTGAGGGCTTGAATGTTGTCGTGAAAATCAGTTACCTCTGCTTTCCTCTGGCCCTCGTCCTGGATCAGCTGACAATTTTCTGCAGTGAGTTTCTGCACAGATGCCTTCAGGTTAGTAATTTCCACCTCCATCTCTGAAGCGCTCTCATTCATGGCCCCGAGCTGAGCACTGAGCGAGATGACAGATTCATTTCGTTTATTCAGCTCATCTTTGTGGTTCTGAAATTCGTGTGTTGCTTCTTTCAGTGTTTGTTCTTTCTGCTGTAGTTGCTGTTTGGCCTCCACGCATTCTTTCCTGAGCATCTCTACCTCAACCTGCATCTGTGACGCGAGCTCTTTCTGTAGCGTGACTTCATTCAGAGATACACTACATTCCTCAACTTTCTGCTGCAGCATGACATCTTTTTCCATTAGTCCTGACTTTAAAACTGATCCCTGCTCCTGAAGCATAGACACAGTATCCTGAAGCTGCAGCAGCTGGTCCTGCTGGGCCATTATCTGTGAAGTCTGCTCTGACACAGTTCGGTCTTTTTCAACCAAGGACATGCTCAGCTGATCGACCTGCATTTTTAAACTATCGATCTGCTCTTGTAAACTCTGAAGCTGTTGCTCTTTCTCCCTCAGATTTTTCAACAGATTAGCACATTCGTTTGTTTTCTCGAGTAGACCTACAGAGATTGCCTGTTCGCTTTCCTTGAGGACCTTTTTTAATTCATCTGTTGCTGCAGCGAGCTCCTCTTTCTCCTTCAACAGACTAGCAACTGTTTTTTGACTATCTGAGATCTGAATTTCAAGGTCCGAGGTTTTTTCTTGGAGAACAATTCTCTCAGCAGTAAGTTCGGAAGCTGATTTCATGTTCTGTGCCAACTCTTCCTGTAGTCTTTGATTATTTTCTGTTAGACTGCTAATCTTCATGCTAAAGCTGGAGTTCTGGTCAAGGGTCGCTTTAAGCTGCCCATCAAGGTCAGATAGAAGCTGCCTTCGTTGTGCAAGCTCCTTTTCTTTGGATTCACATGCAGCACGAAGCTGGCGGTTCTCCTCGGACAAAGCTTGGCTGTGGCTTTTTAAACTAGCCAATTCTGTTTTGCTCTGCTCAGCTTCACACTCAAGCTTTCCAGCATTTTCCTCCATGGCACTGATTCGGTCGCTTAGAGACCTGATAGTTGTGTTTTTGTTATTCAGTTCATCTTTGTGCTTCTGACATTCCTGAGATGACTTTTTCAACAGTTCGTCTCTCTCTCCCAGTTGCTCTCGGAGTTGTGAGCGTTCCTCAATGAGCGATTCCGCCTCAGCTTGTAGCCTGGACGCGATATTTTTCTGGTTTTCAGTTTCCTTCTGCAAACTCTGGAACTCCTCCTGCTTCTGTTTACACATTGCGTCCTTCTCCAATAACCCAGACTTCAGACTACTTTGTTGTTCCTGAAGCAGAGACAGAGTTTCCATTAGCTGTGCTTGCTCATTTTGTTGGGCCTCTATTCGTGCTTGAAGTTCAGTGACAGTCTGCTGTTTTTCTGTGAGGTCGTGCTGCATTTTGTCTATCTTAGACGTCAAGCTTTGCACCTCTTCCTGCTGCTGGGTCACCGTCTCCTCTCTTTCCCTGAGTAGCTGCTGGAGCGAACTACATTCATTTGTTTTTGCCAACATGATCTCCGAGGTTGAATGTGTGCTTTGCTCAAGAACTCTATTTAGCTCAAGAGTTCGAGTAGTTAGCTCCTCTTTATCTTTTTGTAGCCCTTGAATAATTGTGTTACTTTGTGAGTGTTGCATTTCCAATTCAGATATTTTGACATGCAAGGAATCCATCTCGGCTGCAGCCTGTGAAATATTTTTGACATGTTCAGTTACTTCCAATTCAAGCCCGTCTCTCTCTTTTGTAAGGACTTGCACTTGATTCTCCAGACTGCTGTTGAATTCAAGAGCAGATGTAACCTTTTCATTTAGCTCTTTTAAATTCCTACGTTCGAGTTCAAGCTCCTCATTCAGGTTTTCTTGGAGCTGCTCTTTTTCAGTCGTCGTGCTTTTTAAGAGATTTTCAAGCTTGGAGATATTTTCAGATTTGCTTTGAAGTTCATTGCACAGTTTCTCATTTTCAGTGTTGAATTTCTGCCTCTCGTCCTTTAGCTGGCTTTCGAGTGATGCCATCTTTTCCATTTTCTCTTGCATTACTTGCTTGACATTCTCTTCACTCAGGACTTGCTCGTCTAATTGTTTTGATAAGGTCTGAAAGTCTTTGTTATACTTCTCCACCTGTGCCAAAAGCTTATTCTGTTCTTCCTTGAAAGACTTGAGCTCCTTTTCATACGTCTGCTCTTTGTCATTAAGCTCTTGCTGTAGTTTCTCATTACTTGCATTTCTATCCTTAAGCTGCAAAACAAGTCCTTCTGACTCCTGTAGTTTCTGTGCAGATGTTGCCAGCTGTTCCTTTAGTGAACCGATGTGCGTTTCACATTCAGAAAGACGATTATGATGGCTCACATTCTGCTTCTGGATTTCTCCTCGAAGGTCCTGAATAGTCGTCTTATCCTTTTCAGCCTGCTTGATTAAGTGTTTCACCTCAACTCCTGTAGACTCTCGTTCATCTCCGGCCTTGACCATCTCCATCTCAGCTTCCTTAAGTTTCTCCACCAGCTCTGTGATCTTATTATTAAGGGCCTGCTGGTCTGAATTCTGTGATTCTTTCATTATATTAGCCTCCCTCTCTGCCTTACTCAGTGCATTTTCTACTTGTACCAGGCTCTCCTCTTTGAGTTTGATCTCTTGTTTCAGTGCTGTGACCTGCTCTGCATACTCAGCCATGTTCCCAACAAGAGTTGATATCTCTTTATCCTTTTCCAGCAGAGCATCTTTAAGGTTATCGATTTCCCGCTCGCAGCTTTGGAGGTCATAAATGAGCTGGGCTCGTTCCTCCAAATGCGAGGTGTTCAGTTTGTCCAGCTCCTCGTTTGTCTGATCAAGGTCAGTTTGTAATGTTTCAATGGTGACATCTTGTTTTTGCGTCTAAAGGAAATTAGGGAGGAAAAACACCATTGGCACATTTTTCTTAATCTTTACAGGCAAAACAATGAAAATCTTAAAAAAATCTTTATCTTTTCAAGCATACCTTCTCTTTCAGCACACTCAGCTTTTGTGTGAGATCCATAACTTCTGCTTTCAACTCAGAGCATTGTTTCTCTGATGTAGCGTATTTCATGGAAATGTTCTCAAACTGAAAAAAACAAAACAACACATTTAAAGACTGAAAAATTGCGAATCATAACACAAAGAAAAAAGGAGCCCAGCTCTTACAGTGTGCTCCGTCTGAAGGAGCTTGTCAGACAGCTCTTTGCACTGAATGTCTTTTTCACTCAGTGATTGTCGAAGGCTGCTGATGAGCTCAAGTTTCTCAGATGTCTTGGCCAAAGTATTCTCCTTCTCAATCAGGGAACTTTGCAGGCACTCCTGTGTGTCAGTCAGCCTAAAGAAAAAAGTGACA